ATATTTAAAATAACTTAGTTTATTTACAATATTTACAAATTAAATGAATATAGACAGTAGATCAAAAAGGGCTCTCGGACTCATAAACTTGGTTGGGAAGAATTAATTTTTAGCTAAGAATTAATTAATTTCCATTGGAGTTATTTTCCCTCCCAAATTTTGATTCAACATCTCAAAAAATTCAGTGAAATATCGATATTTTATTATGATGAATCAATCAGGCCTATGTGGTCTTATAAGTTCTGATGAAGAACACTGAAATATAATATATATACTCTCATTCACATTTTCTGTGATTAATCTAAATGTTCATTTAAATACGATACCTTACCTTTTACAAACGTGCCATAATGAAATTTTAAAGCGAAGACAACGCTGCTGAAAAAAATTGGCTCCAAATGTACAGACACATAAGGCCTCCAATGAAGTAAAAATACTATTGGCTATGTCAACACTTACTCATCATAGAACCTGTGTAGAAAATAAATAAAGAAAAGATTCTGGCAATAGTATATATGGTTCTGATGCTGGAAAAATACCCTGAAGCGTTAAAATGTAATGATATGTGACAAATAAAAAATAAATATACTGGTCATAAGGAAGTTATATTTGCCAACCTCAGTTGTGTAGCAAAAAACTTCCCTAAAAAAGATATAAAAAGCAGAAATCAAGCAAAAAATATGTCCAGTACGTCACGTACAACGTAAATGCAGAAAACAAATAGTGGATTGAACGATTTATGGATCATATTCCATGAAAATGGTTTAGGAAAATTTGTATGAAAAGTGTTTATCAGGGTTTCCACTTTGGTGAACAATTTTGTTTTTTAGGGGAATCTTAAGGTTAGGAGGGAAAATAAGAGAAATAATTTTTATCAATCATAAACTATTTTTATTTTAATTAAAAAAGTAAAACGATTAGTTATATATAATATTTATTATTTTTCATATATTGAGGAGGAAGGAATTTTTAAGTTCATTCTGTGGCAAAATCTGGCTGACCAAAAAGGAAATTGAAAAAAAAAAATATGATGCAAACCAGACATTCATACTGAAAGACTTATTTTAGTTTTATACCTCAATTTTTCTTAATTGAAAATTATACTATGTTATATTCAACAAGTCTTTGAATAAATTTTTATTTGATCTTGCTAGATATTATCTACTTTAAAAATATATCTCTTCCGTGTTTGGTTATCTTTCTCTTTAATAAGAGTATCCTCAATAACGCTTTTAAAATTAAATTTCTAACAATAAAATCTCTGATTATTTTTATTATGGTATTGATGCACATCTCAAAACAGAGAAATGCGAGCAGTCTAAAATTTTCGAATAGGTTTTATTGAAACTCATCTTTTTTTGTTTGTTTGAACTCCGAACTCTGTTTCTTCATCAATCGGATCAACTATTAATGTTTTATTGTAACTACCAAACGTATTATCTTATATATATATATATATATATATATATATATATATATATATATATATATATATATATGAAATAATAATGCCTTACCTGACATCATTCCATGCTTATTAATTCCCTGATTAGAAACATTTAAAAATAAACGTTTGGATTTTTATTTTATTTTTTTATCGCGAGAAACAAGATCATCTTCAAGCTTTAGTAATTAAGAATTAAAAGATAATAATTAAAAGATCAACGTTGAATAATGTGACAAAATTATGGAGTTAGGTATGATTGAACATTGTAAAAATTATAGCTGTTTTGTGTAGATCGCTCAAAAGAAATAGTTTTGTTCATGATTTAGCCTTTACTATTTATCGAAATCGTTACAAAGAATTTTATACATGAATATTCAAATGTCATAGGATGCCGTGTATATAACACCAAGGATCTGTTGGCGTTTACAACTAACACCCATATGTTTTTATACTACAACTATTTATTTATTTAAATTATTGATTGGCGTTTCGGGAAAGCGGTTCTAACCAAGATAAATAAAATGCAAAGAAATTGTCATAAAAAATGGAATACAGAAAACTACTAAATTTATTTTATGACCATGACAAGTACTGCTATGAAGAAGTGTATTATATATTTTCGTATAACTGTGGTTAAATTAATAATATGAAAAACAAAATCTTTTAAAAGGATTTTTTAATATTGAAAAAGGAGCAATTTGATATGGGAAAGCCTTTATCGAATATTTATTGAATGTAAAAAAAAAATTTAAGATTTTACCGTTTCTGTATTTCTCTTCGGGCTTAGTACAATACATCGGTTTATTCGTAAATGTATTTTATATTTCTTAAATCATTTCTGCAGATATAGATTAGATATTTTCAACGATTTTTAAGTTGGTACTTAGAAAATCTGTGAATCTGTTCATTTATATAAACTTTTGAATTGAGATTTGATTATAATTTATTAATATTCGTTCAATAGCGAACAATTCCTTTTTCTCACACGTTAGAGGGAATAGTTATTGCTGCTATAAATACCGAAATATACTCGGTATATATATCGGTGAGTTAAGGGTAAGTGGAAATACAATTGAAAAAATAGCATATGAGCTCTAGAATAAGTACAAAGAAAGGAGTTAAAGAAAAAGTAAAAATATTTTTAATGTGTAAATGTGTTGTTTCTTTGCGGTCACATGTTTAATACTAGTACACATTTTATATCGAACCAGCAGAAAATTTTATGAAAAGAAAGAATAAAAAAATTTGGACAGTTTAAAAAGAAAAAAGTAATTGATTGCCAAATAACGTACGAAACTAAGGGTGACTGGATGTGGAATAGGATGAAAATCAATTACAACTGGAGTTGAGGAATAAGATTAGTGTTGACCAAGGTAGCCTAACTGTTGCAAGACCAAGACCAGGACTGGTAAAAAAATCGATTTTTTGAATAAAAACTTAAGGCAAAATAGTTAATAATACTTGACAACCTTAGTTACTATATGTTAATAATTGGTATAACCAATATACTTCTGCATTTAACTCCTCTAATTTTTAATTTGGGCTTCGTTAGATTTGTCCTATCTAAAAAATTACAGTAATATCTCTAAAAATAATAAGCTGTTAAGTAACTGCAAGACTGTTGCGAGAGTCTTGCGCAAGACCAAGATCAAGACTGAGTTTGCAAGATCAAGATTCGTCCTGATCTCGCATTTGGGCAACATTAAATAAGATAATGTTTTACTGAAAGAGCTCTGGATTGGAAGGGAGAAAAGAAGTGGTGGAGGATTGTAAACTTTGGTTTAGGTTGTATGAAATATTCGTCAAAGCATAAGTAGTTGATCTCTTATAATCTGCCTTTATGGGTATTTTAATAGACAAAATTTCATGAAAACTTAAATCCAAGTCTTTATGTTGCCTAAAATAAAATATTGCGAAAAATGTTTGGCTTGGAAGACAGTAATGGATTCAGGAAGTTATTGAGGGCTTCAGCCCGAAAGCTTTTATTTACACACACATATATAACGATAATTACTTTGGAAGAAAAAGAAAGCAATTATCAACCTATATGAAATGGTGTTCAAGTGATTCTTGAAGTCCTATTAAATGTTATTACACGGACAGTAATACTTTTAGAGATAATTTTTTTCATAAAACATGGTTATATTTTATCAATTGCGTATCTACCTGTTTTGGATGAAGAATCCAATGTGAAATTCAAAATGCAACGCAAAGCGGTATTGCATGCTTAGTAACCATTGAAACATGTAGTAATATCACCACCATTGAAAAAAAGGCTATATTGTAAAATTGAATGAGATACCAATCATTGGCAAATTGACGATAGACCGAGACGTAGAAAGGAGGATAGTGACCGTCTTTGTAGATTTGTGTTGTGGAGGGGATAAAGTGAAACGATGTGATACAGCAGCAATAATTGCAGATAATATCATCAGCATCTCAACTGCTACGTCCTCATTCATTAGCTTATCAAATATCTCCCGTTTGTGTAGTACTTTCAAATATTTAAAAATATACCTGTAATTCTCTCTAATGTCATAACCTCATAAAAGGAGAGTTAAGAAGATAAGAACTGTCTAAAGCTGCTATAACAGGCAAGTAATTTTTTTCTTATATATATATATATATATATATATATATATATATATATATATATATATATATATATATATATATATATATATATATATATATATATAAAGAAACCCACAAACATGTGTATATAAACGAGTATACGCTCTTTAATAGCATACGGTGTTTGAAAATTATGAAGTCACCAAAACAGATTAGGGAAACAAGAAATATTTTAGATTTGTTTTAGAAGACTAATCCCTCATCGAAGGTAGTGTTGCCCAATATAGCCTAACTATTTCAAGACAAAGACCACTATTGCTGGCCAAAAAAAACACCAAAAAAAAGTTTTTGTGAATAAAAATTAAGGCGAAACTTGACAATTTTAGTTACTATATTTAAAGAATCGGTATAACCAATATACTTTTGTATTTAACTCTTCTAATTTTTCATTCAGGCTTAGTTAGGTTTCCCCTATCTGCAAAATTACAATACTTCCTCTTTAGTAATAAGCTAATAGGTAACTGCAAGACTCTTGCGCAAGACCAAGACTCGTCTTGGTCTCACATTTGGGCGACACTAATCAAAGGTTATCTATGTAGAAGAAGAGAATACGTAAAACTACAATGATGATCCGTATTATTACTCAATTAATTTTGTGAAGACCTTGGAGGGAAAATTGCCGTTGTCTAAAAAAAATTGAAAACATAAAAAAAAATCAAGTTGGACATAACCTTTCAATTCCCTTTTTAACTATATTTCTAACCAATTTTGTAATAGAACTGGTCTTATTAAAGGCGACCTGGTATGGTTATAGTGTTTTACTTCATGTATTTTAACTCGCCAAACATTCAATTTTGAAAAAATAAATAAATGTAACATTGTCTGTTACAATAACTTCATTGAATAAGGCATGGATGATGTTTGAAACTATTATCGAAGAAAATTTGGGACAAGTTTGGAGAACCAAGACTATGGTTATATGATTAGGCAATTTATTTCCAGGCACGATGATGTTCTTCAAGTATTCGCTAAAGAGATGCGAAGGAGTAGAAACCAGGGCTTGGTAAAGGCAATTTTACGCCTTATATTATTATTATATTTTTCGTAAAGATCACAAAAGAGCCGAAACTAGAATTTTTTTTCTGTAAAGGTAAGCTTAGTTTTGTCGTCACTCGTCACCCTCTTTTCACCAATAAAAGTAAACAGCCCAATGATAGTATTTTAGGTTTTTTATTTTACAATACGTGTCAATAAATTTAAATAATTAAAAATAAAGCAAATATACGGTATCGATAAAAAGACCCCCACCTATAAAAAATTCAAAAGTTCCAATTATTAAATCAAAATTATTGGCACTCATAAAAAAAGCACCTTGGAACGTGACTAACAAAACTCAAGATACTGAACTCCACTTTCTAACAGTTGACCAGCATATAACGTCCCTTTATCAACGATTTTACACAAATTTAAATGACATAAACAGACTTAGAGGAAACATGGCCACAGCTGACATACCTCAGAACATGAGGAGGACACTAAAAAGGCGTTGGATGAGGGACCTCCTTCCTTAGACGACCTAAGTAATTGGAACAAGTTAGGAAAGAGGTACTGCTGAGTACTTTCCTTCCCCATGCCTGTCATGTCATATCATGTTTCGCCATCAAATTTGCTGATTGTCAACATGCGCAAATATATGCGCAAAAAAAAAATTATAAAAAAAATAAAGCAAAAATATTTTTGATTCTACCTTAAAATACTTAATGTCGCTCAGGATAAGTGCTCGCTTTACCCCTTACAAGTTACTATATTGTCATTATTTATTTATGAAGGTTAGCGAGACGTGAATGGGAGGATTTTCAGGCTTGATCTTGCAGAATTGGTTTTTGGAGAGAGAAAGATATGTAGTTTACGATTGTTGGTGGTTTAGGTATCGAATAGCAGGGTTCGTTTGACCTCATTATTAACAAAATTATTACGGACTGTCGGTACAACTATAGCGGGCCACTCAGGGAACATTAGCCTAATTAAGCATTTGCCAATAAGTATTTCCACCGGGGCAGCAATGTTTGTGTTTGTCAGATCGTTATCAGAATAATATGATTGTTGTATCTGGCCAGTGGGAGGGAGCTAGAATCAGGGCGGCCTGCTAAATTATTCAGTTAACTAGAGGGTAAGTAGGGGTAGTATTGTAAATACTATACCAGGAGGGGTTGAGTGGCTGGCTTAGGATGGCTCGCGCGGCGGGGTGGCCCTCCCCACTCCGCCTCGGTCCGGCCAATCAGGGCGAGGGGGCGTGGCCCGAGAGGTCACGCCCACTTCGGGGCGGCCCGGCCGTGACCGGGGGTTGCGGCAGAAGCGCGAGATGAGCGGTGAGGTAAAGTCGACGGTGCGGGTGGCTGCCCCCAGCCTTCACGAGGCACCGCCCCCGAAGCGGCCCGGCAGGTCCCCGTTCGCTATCCAGGAGCTCCTCGGGCTGGCGGAGCCCCCTCAGCAGGAGTACCCCAGGCACCCCAGCCTCCACACCCAGGCCATGCTCTCCGCCTCCAGGATGGCCTACTTCAACGCACAGGCCGCCGTTGCCGCCGCCTTCCTTCCGCAGCCGCAGCCGCCTCTCCACCCTCCGCCGCCTTCAGGTATGTCCTATCTTACTCTTGGGTAGACCTTTGTGTAGTCAGAGTCATCGTAGTCACCAAAAAAAATCATGTGAGACGGTTAGAATGAAGCTGTCATTAGTGCTAACACCAAAAAAATGGATAAAATCGATTTGACAACCTTAAAAAGTCATTTGTTTTAAAGTGTAAGACGCTTGTTCAACTATCCCTATCGTATTTTTCAAATTTAACCAATACATCAGTAAGGATTGTGCGTAAATGGTTGACTGTCGTGAATAATGAAGAAAAGAATAGTTGGGGTGGTCAGTAAAATAAGAAGGCAAAAATAAATAATAATATTTATTTTGACATTTGCCGACGTTTCGACCTGAAGTTCAGGCCTTCATCAGGGCTAAGAAAAGAACCAGATAACAAGGTATGAGAAACATGAGTAGTGTAGGTAAAAAAAAAAAAAAAAAAAATTAAAGTAAAATGAATTTCTTAGAATAATGACAATATTCAGAACTAAGAGATATAAAATAATAACCGTTACAAAGTGTAGAATGATGAAGTAAACATAATCAAAAAAGGTGACATAAGTATACATTTTATTCTAAGATTCCGATTTTAATACTTTTGTCACTTTTTTGATTATGTTTACTTCATCATTCCACATTTTGTAACAGTTATTATTATTTATCTCTAGTTCTTACTATTGTCATTATTCTGCCAACTTCATTTTACTTTTTTTTTTTTTACCTACACTACTCATGTTTCTCATTCCTTGTTATCCTTTTCTTATCCTTGATGAAGGCCTGAATTTCAGGTCGAAACGTCGGCAAAAGTCAAAATAAATATTATAATTTTTTTTTGCCTTCTTATTTGACTGATCACCCCAACTATTCTTCTCTTCATCTTCGGTAAGGATGTGTGCTTGAAAAGTTAGTACAAGTAATAAGCTATTTTTTAAAATTGTATATTATAATTGGTATATCATGAGTCCAAAATCTTTATTTTCTACCTTAAATTTTATTTTTATTCTAACCGAATCACATATGTTTTTATTAAACTTACAGAGAAATAATTAATTTCGGTACCAATGTGAAAATTTTTTTTTGTTAGTTATTATTGTTTTAGTTCGTATAGTAGTACAAAAATGGTAACTACCTATATGTAGAATGTACTATATTTGTCAGCGCCTTTGAACATGTTTTTTTTTCTCTGTATTTTAGAACTATTTTATTTTACATAAGAACAAAAAAATATAGAAAAAAAAGGCGAATTTTGCAATTATAATTGTGTAAAACATCCCTAAAAAATGTTATCCTATGCAAATACTTTGATTTAACTACTGTCAAATCCCTTAAGTATTTTTTAAATATCTCTTACAAATATATTTTTTATATTGGTATCACTACTACATTCAAGCAAGCATAATTTTTAAAAAATATGAAGGTAGCATTTTAATGTTTTGGGATGTTTTCAAAGCAGAAATGAGATTCTTAACAATGCCCACATTATCTCATAACAATATGGATTTTCTTTTTGTTTTGAAAACAATGTTGTTGTTTTTTTATTCCTAACAATATATATTTTCATTATTTAGAACCATGTATGAAGAATCATGTATTGTCAAGACCAATGACAGACTTGTCTGAATTTCTTTCAAGATTTTAACAACTATTTTAGTTTTTACAACAGTATGAAAAAAAAAAATCTTTCTTACATAAGAACTTCTGAAATTGATCAGAATATTTCAAACATTTTTGTATTACATTTTTTTTTTTTTTTATTACTTGCTAAGATTTAGTATTTTAAATCTATTTCAATATTACATTGCTTGATTTTTCCTTCCCTCAAAGTACATTTTTGGTTAGAAAAATGTCTAATTTGTTCAGTACCGTCAGCATAATATGTTTTATTAAAATAACATTCACATGTTTAACTATAATCAATTTTATAACACCGGGCACCTGAAAATAGCTCATGATAAATATAAGCTCATAAAGTTTACTATTTTATAAACAAACGAAATTTTTGTTCATTTGGTGGAGTCCAGAGATAATAGGGTACAATGAATTCCTATTTATTAGAACCTTTAATAATTAATGGAGATATTTAAAGTTTCAATCATGATTTTGATCAATGGTATATTGTACTTTTGTAAAATTTAGCCATCTTTAGGAAATCATGAGGTATTTTAAGTTCAATGATGGTACTGAGTTAAATGATTACACAATTCAAAAAAATAAAGACATCACAATATATTTTCTAAAATACTGTAACTAAAAACAACACAAACATTGTCTACTGAAAATTTAGCTTGAATCAAATCAATTAAGTCTGTATGATGACAAAAATAGTATAAAAAATATTTTTTTTTAAGGGTCGCATATTAGATGGTTGTCTTAAATAAAATAACTATTTATTTTTAAAACTAATTTACAAGAATATACAATAATTCATTTCTGGAATGAACGGTAATGGCGGGATCCCGTATAAATTTATTATGCGTACAACAGATCTTTGTCAGTGCCGAACAATACATCTTTGCAAATACATTTTATTATTCTTTCAATAACTCGAAATAATGAAAAAGTTATTTCTAAAAAAACATAGTCCTAAAAATTGCATTTTTAGCAAGATAAATGTGAAAAAGTAGTGATAATGCACTCTGTTCTATTAAATTTAAAATTACATTTCAAAAAATTATGAACAAATAAAAAACAAAGAAGAAAACACCCAGACTTCTATTTTATTCAATCATTATAATTAATAATAATTTTAATAATCATTATTAGACCATTTTTTATAGAAAAAATTGTAAAAAAAATATTAGAATTTTTGGGGACTACACTTAAAAAAAATTAAATATGTACATCCTAAAAATAAATGCTCTCTTAAAAATGTATTCTGAATAGATAAATATGCATATATTTTTATTTTGAAAATTTTGTTTGTCAATAACAAACATGTGTGATATAATATACATATTTTATTGTGATTTAATTCAATGTTTATATAATATTGTATTCCAGAACAAGGGGGTATGAAAAAATTTAAAATATCTTTTTAATTAAATTCATTTGTAACAGGAATTAAAATTTCACTCTTTTTAATTATTGTTAATTCTCTATTATCTATCTGAAAAATAGTTAAAACATTTAATTTGATTAAAATTAATAAAACAATACCAACAATTGGTTAATTGATTTATATTGACCCAGCTTTTTCTATTTTATTACCAAAAAAACTTCTGGTTTAATATTATTTGAATTAATATCTTTAAATCGGTTACTTATTTCCTGTTACAAAATCGTTTTTAATATTTATTCTTCTACTTGCATTAAATTGGTATTGATCACAATTAAGTGCTATTAGTTTGTTCTTCCCAGTCGAAAAAACGGATGCGTTATTGCTGAATAGGAAATAAAAATTTCTAATTAAAATTTAATTCCTTAGACTGTCTGAGTGACAGATTGTTGTAATACCCAATAAATAAATTTTAAAAAATCCTTAGATTAATCAAATTTATATTAATTTTAAGTTATTATAATTAGATTCTGCAAAGATATTTTAAAAAATGTTCTACATACAAAGGAGCAATAAGTCAGAATATTTGATTAATTATTCAATTGATATTTTAGATTTGGATAACAGTAAAATTAAATGAAATACAAGAATAACTTTTCAGTAATATTTTAACATATTTTGATCCAGGAAGAGATATTAGAAAATTATATCCGCTCTTTTTATTTATATTATGTTTATTGTTAATATTATTATTATTGAACAATAATAACTCTTATGGTAGAGTCTTTCTTAACCAGTAGTGGAATTACATGTAAATGATGATATATGAATTTATTATTTGCTAATTTCCTAGTGATTCTAGGTAGTGAATTTTTTGCATGATTGTAGTTATTATGACTGATTTATCAGTCGTTTAATTTCATTGCGTTTATTTTTACATTTTAAATTTTAGTTTCCAATACCCTCTGCAATGTTTTATTTATATTATTATATTATATATATATGAACTAGCATAATTGAATATTTTATGATATTTACTATATCTTCTGTATCCTTAATAATAGTGCAATTTTAAAACTGACATACTTGATTTTTGTAGTTTTAGTATATAAAAATGATTAATTATTAAGATTCTCTAATCATATTAGCCAAAACATTAACCATAGTTTTTAACTAGATATTTTCAAAATAAGAAGTTACTATCTTGTAGGAATAAATTTTTGCTCATCAACAATCGATTAATTGATTCTTATTCAATAATTTATTGTACCTTTCGGTGTAGAGATGATTAATTAATTGATTAACTAAAATCAATTGATTAATATTTGAAGTTAGAACTTGCATAAATTAGCGGTAATATATAAATCTGAGAAATGATTTTAATTAGAATATAACAGATCAAGTTTGAAGACTTTTTTCTAATGCTAATTCAATATGGAGTGTTAGTCTTAATATTGGCAAAATGGACACATAATAGTTGAGAACGCAATTAAAAATAATTTTCGATAACTCTCCAAACTTTAATCGCATTAATGAATAAGTTTTAAAAGTTGTTAACATTTATAGTATGATAAAAAAAATATTCCGATGTTAATTCATTATATAATTTAATAAGACAACCAATATAACAACCAACAACCAACAACCAACCAATAACCTTTGCATGAAGGAAATATTCATCTATTGTTATATATATAAGGAACTTTATAAGCATGCCAACATTTTTAAAGTATTATATTTCACAATTTTGTTTTATTAAATTATAACTAGCGTAAACGAAGACGGTTTTGTATGATTTTTATTTATTTAAGTATTAAAAAAAATATTTAAAATTTTATTCCATAAAGGTTTTCCTACTACAATTAGCTTAAAGTTTGTAATAATTCTAGTAACAATACAGACTCTCATACGCCCATAACCAAACCATACCTTTTCACTATTCAGAATATTTAGAACTAAAAAAAAAATAACCAACAAGAGTTTTAAAATATATACACATAAAACTTATAGGAATAATAAATTTAAAGAATAATGT